AAATATAAGCTTTGACATGTGTTCAAAGCAGTGGAAAATATGCTTTTGCAAGAAGTGGAGAGAGAAAAGATAGTCTCTCATTTTAAAAAGACAGCATAGATACTGACAATATTGTATTTACTTTAGTAGATATAAAACTTGAATTTTTCTTCATGTCTTCCTTTTATTCCCTGAGTACAATGATTTTTTTTTTTACTCAACTGGAGAGTCTTAAAACAATATAAATCATCACTTATTTGTCAGAAAACTCAATACTCCTTTTCCCCCTCAAGTTTATATTAAGTTTTCTTAAGAAAGACATGTCAATACAGTGACTGACAGATGATAAATCCCAGCAGAAGCCTTATAGATTAGCAATTATCCTTGCATATAACGACCCTAAATTTGAGATGGGATATCTTTATGATCATTGTCTAGTGTATGTCAATGAGTGCTTTATTTCTTGTAGCTCCTTAATTGGTTCTGTATTACCCAGTCAATTCTTCTCATTATGTGACATGTTGTTAAAGATTTTTGCCTTCATATTCACTTATTTTTCTTTTTATTTAAAACCAAGCTTTTAAAAGTAGCTTTCTATATCCCTGAGAGAGCTTTCTATGCCCTTTAAAAACCTATTCTGAAATTAATAATGCATTTCATTGCTATTGTTCTGTATTAACCATACTGTGCTTCCCAAATGTTTTTTTCTTTTGATGTACTTATTCCATTTCCTTTTCAAAATATTGTGATTTTCAAAGAGTCTGTATTATTCATTTAGGCACACTTATGAAGAAAACTGTAATGTGAAAGCCAACTCAAACTTCATAACAATACTTTTGGAAAGTTAAGATAAGAATATTGAATTATGAAAGTTTAGGGAAATTTGTCTTCATTTTCATTGATTTGAACTATCTGCTTCCATTCAAGATTTTGCTAGAGAGACTGGTGGAATATTCCAGAGCTTTCTGAGAATGGTAAGATGAGGCAGGGCTTAGTTATAAATAGGAAAATGATATTGTTAATAACTTTGTACTCTCTCCTCAGTATCCCTTTGGCCCTTAAAGATGATCCTTTTCTTCTTCCAAATCACTTATGCATTCCATTTAATGTCACTTTTACGGACTTGACCTAGTATTTATACCATTTAAAAAGAGACATTTTTTATTCAAACTTTAAATTCATAATCATAGTGTATTTAACATTTTGACACACAATGTTCATTAAAGTAATAAAAACAATAATAGCTCAAATTTATTAAGCTCCTAGTATAGTCATGTCCAGGTACTTAAATTATCTCTTGTAATCTTTATATAACTTTGAGATAAATCATACTATTAAATGCAATTTAGAGCTGAGGCTTAGGCATGTTAAGTAATTTGCTCAAAAAATTATACTAGTAAAATGCATTCTTAGTTTGAGAAGAAATAAAAGAAAAACAAACCCAGTGGTAGAATTTCCAGACCTTCTAAGACCTATAAGTGACTCCAGAACAATGATAGATTAATTGCCTCTTTAGTTGTGAGTGAATTACAATGATAAATCATTTATCATTAATCAATAGTTTCTGAAAGACATATAATGGCCCAGGGAAAAGGTGAGAAACAGGTAAGTCTTGTTGCATCATTATTGTTCTATTTTTCTGTCAGATTTTTCCTATCTCCTTATTCCTATCCTTACCCAACTTTCCTTTCCCCTTTCAATACTTAACACCTGCCTGAGAGTCCAAATCATTTGTTTACAAGTACCTATTGAATGCAGTCAATGTCACAATCCTATATAATAAAAGTCTAATATGCAAATCAACCAAACGGCAGAATGACCAGTTGCTGTGATGCACATTGACCACCAGGGGGCAGATGGTCAATTCAGGGGCTACCCCCTGGTGGTCAGTGTGCTCCCATAGGGGGTGCGCCGCTCAGCCAGAAGCCAGACTCATGCAGCAGTGATGGCAGGAGCCTCTCCAGCCTCTGTTTCTGAAGCACCGCTAAGGAGCAGCAAGCAGGCAGGCAGTAAGGAGAGAGAGGGTTCCCGGACTGCAAGAGGGCACAGGCCAGGCTGAGGGACCCCCCCATCAGTGCACCAATTTTGTGCACTGGGCCTCTAGTTTTACATAAAAGCCTTAACAATTTTGTGGTAAAAATAATATCTTGATGACCAGAACACATTCCAATCTAAGTGAACTAAACATCTGATGCAATTTAAGATATGTATAACATGAAAAAAAGAGTATTACCAAGGCATAACTTGTAACTACAACTTGTTGATAATTACCTACACTAATCATTCATTAAATGTGCCTAGTTTCTACCATATCCTACAAATTAAATAGGCCTGGATGCTCCCTGCCCTCACGGGGTTTTAGTCGATCAGGGAAGCCAGACCATCCAAAGCATAGAGATTATAGGAAGTGAGAAGTGTCAGGACAGAAAAAGAAGATAGTTACGTGCCTCTTTCCCCTTCAGATTACAGACATACAGAAAAAAAAAAAGGGCAGTTGAAGACAGGGGGAGACAAATAGAAAGTCTCGGAACAGTGAAGCTGTTTTGGTGAGTTACAAAACTCTCAACAACCTCAGAACCAAGAGTTTCTTGCCCTTCTCTTCTCTGAAAGCAGCGCAAGCACTGAGGCTAAATGTTATTCCATTTGTGGGAGAGAGTGAGGAGAACCATCCTTGGTGTCTGTAGGTTTAATGCGAGTATGAAATCAGAGATTATATGAGTCAGGCAGGTAAAAAAAAAAAGCAATATATACTTTATAAATGCTCATTTTGTCTTCTCCCGAACTTACTGATCAATTATATCACTGGGGAAAAGAACATGCTTAAAAAGAATTGTATTTACAAAGTGTTAATATTACATAGCATCAAAAATATAAAGGTAAATACTATGATTCAGAATTTTTTATATTCACCTACATGCAACAAAAGAATGAGTTGTCTAAAGTAGCGAGGAGATATGAATCCAGGCAATGAGGATTCAGAATTTATGATCTCAAAGACTACAATGCACTCTCTCTAGGAATAGGAATAACCCCTCCTGCAAATATCACTTACTTGGAAGTATAGGATATCTACATGGAGAGATCTAGAAAAAACTACATCAACCATTCATGCATCCATTTACTAAAACATTCTTCCAACAAAAAATTTTTTAATATATTTTATTGATTTTTTACAGAGAGGAAGGGAGAGAGATAGAGAGTCAGAAACATCGATGAAAGAGAACCATCGATCAGTCGCTTCCCGCATATCCCCCACCGGGGATGTGCCCGCAACCCAGGTACATGCCCTTGACCGGAATCGAACCCAGGACCCTTCAGTCCGCAGGCCGACGCTCTATCCACCGAGCCATACCGGTTTCAGCCTTCCAACAAAATTTTAATCACCAAATACTTTCAGAGCAGAATGCTGAGAATTGTCGATCTACTAACAAATTGATTCCAAATGTCCCTCTCATGAATATTAGAGTCTAAGAAGAAAAATAAATGTAAAAACACATTTTTAAAACGTTTTAAAATATGATACACATATGAATAAGTCCAGAACAGGGTTCTTTGGGGACCTGTGGGAAAGCTTTTGGTGCTGACTTGGTTGGCAGGCAGACTCATCAGTATCTTCAAGGAATGCAGTTAGCCAGGTATAATTTGAATGCAGAAACACCTGGTGAATAAATTAAGCCTCCACATCTCGAAGGCTGTATGTATTGCCAGAAACATGAATTGCACTGAACTAAAGATGGGGGGCCTTGAGTTCAGCCTCACAGATTTAGCTCTCCTGGTTGTAAGATCTAAAGCTTTGATCCTGTACAAAAGGAAACAGTGCAGAAAATGGTTGCTGTATTCCTCTGTGTGCAAAATGGAAAGAAAAAAAAGGGAAAAGGTGTCTTGAATAATCGAAAAAAAAAAATACTTCTAAAGTTAGTTATTTTGGGATTCTGAGGTGAAGCAGTATTTTTTTTTTAGCCCTTGGTAGTGAGAGGGAAGAGAAGAGAGCAGCTCTTCACATCATCCAAGAATTTTGTAACATAAATCTCTCACATAAGGATGTCTCCATACCTGTGTCTATCGATCATACATGGCATGAATACACAATACCTCCTAATGCTCTTGCTCTAAAAACAATAAAAAGCCATTTGCTACAGACCCTGGTAATTTCAATCATTTCCACCACCCAGCTATCTGGTACTCAGGATCTATTGTGAACGTTTTCTTTTATTTCAGTGATGTATTAATTTACTCAATGAAATGTGTTTTGTAGAAATACTATACATAGTATTCTGGTAGCTTTTATAAATTAACCGTATTTATTTATTACACTGCTGCCTATTAAAATATTTCTAATAATCAGTGTTTGATAAACAAAGGTATCTTTAAAAATTGCAATAAATCAATACATTTTCATAACTTGGAATAAAGTATATAAAAATAAGAAAAATATTGTGTTCTTTTTCAATTTTAATATTTTTTAGAGAGAGATGAAGAAGGAGAAACATCAATGTGAAAGAGAAACATCAATTTGTTGTCTAAGTACAGGTATGTGCCCTGACCAGGGATCAGACTGGCAACCTTCTGGTATACAGGATGATGCTCTAGCCAACTGAGCCACCCAGCCAGGATATTTTCAAAATTTTGAAGAATGGAAACACCGCTTTCAGGGAATAAGAGGCTGAATTATTTTAACAAACATTTCTGGAAGAAAAAATATTTAGTGTTCTAGATACTGTACTTATGTGCAATATATAGCAATGTCTTCATGAATACCAAAACCTACTTCTCTTCATCTTTGAATTCCCCAAAGTTCAATAAATAATTGTTCAACTGATATCAATTTTAGCTTTAGCCATCATATAAAAATTTGTTTTTCATCATCTAACACAACCTTCCCCAGGTGAACCATGTTCTGTTTTTTTTTTTTTAAATATATTTTTATTGATTTTTCACAGAGAGGAAGGGAGAGAGATAGAGAGAGTTAGAAACATCGATCAGAGAGGAACATCGATCAGCTGCCTCCTGCACATCCACCACCGGGGATGTGCCCGCAACCCAGGTACATGCCCTTGACGGGGATCGAACCCGGGACCTCTCAGTCTGCAGGCTGACGCTCTATCCACTGAGCCAAACCGGTTTCGGCGAACCATGTTCTGTTAATATCAAATTAGTTATGCTTTCCTAGATATTCTGCATTTTCTTATCTCAGATTTCTATTTACCATATTTTTTCTGCCTTGAATAACTTGCTGTAGATAGTCTAACCACCATTAAAGTTCCAAAGAAATGTTCTTTTCTATGAACACTAAAACCACATCTCTTTATCTTTGATTTCCCAAGAGTTCAGAAAATATTTGTTTAATTTATATTAGTTTTGTATTATCTATGCCATGAAGGTTTTTGTATAGTTGCAGTCCACTTAAGAAAATATAATTTGTCACTCTTCATATTCTTATCTGGATATTATTTCATCCGATTAGTTTCATGTTTTTATATAAAGACACAGGATGCTAAGGAAATGGATCTAGAGAAAAAATTCAAACAAATCACAATATAAGACAGTGTGGTGACAAGTTAAGAGTATGAGGATATATGTGAGTAGGTGAGTTATCAACAGATACTCAAGAAGGATTAAGGAGTATGTGTGAAACAGTAACAAAGACAGGTTTTGGCTACTGTACATACATCCAACCCAGTCGTTCTGTGCACTGAATATGATAACATATACAATTACTTATAACTAAGATTATCTTCGGTATATATTATTAGCAGTAGTCAGGTTACATTGTTATTTTATCCTCTCTCTTTATGACTCAAAATGAGTCATCCTATCTATTAAAAGGGTAATATGCAAATTAACCATCACTCCATCACAGAGATGGTGGCACCCATACCCACAAGATGGTGGTCCCCAGTCCCTCAAGCCCTCTGGTGTCCGTCCTTTCAACCTTAACTTATTACTATGGCAAGTGGACTTAGAAGGTTTTCAGCAAGTGTGAGAAGCAAGCTTTGGCGAGATCGAGGGAAAGCCAGAGGGCTCAGGGCCGCTGTTGCCGGAGGAGGCCCTCAGACTTCAGTTCTGAAACCGCAGGGACCCACTCCAGCGTGGGCTGGGGAGGAAGCGCTGCTGCCACCCGCCCAGTGCCAGGTCACTGGTTAAGGAAGCGGGTCCAAGTCACAGCCACAAGGCCAGGCGGGGATGTCTCACCCTGGACCATCATGGCTGAGCTCTGGCAGGGGTGGTGAGTGCCTCTGGGATCACTGTCTGCCCCCAGGCTGCCTTGGACACCAGTGGAGCGGGTGCAGGTTGAACATTTTAATGAAAATGGGACGCCTGCATTCCGCCCCACCGCACCCCAGTCCCCGGCAAGGAGAAAGCAGCAGGATCGAGGCTGCAGCCTTGGGACCCAGTTAGGAGGCACTGGGGCTTCGTAGGGGCTGGGAGCAACCTGCAGGTGCGCTATGAGGAAGAGGTGCTGATCCGCTAGGACGCAGAGGGCCGACTTCTGGAGTTGCGCAAAGGTGCAGACGAGGCAGCTCTTCCCTGCACTGAGCTCGAAAAGCACATCGACATGATGGACAAAATTGCCTTTCTGAAGAAGGTGCACAAAGAGGAGATCGCCAAGTTGCAGGCCCAGATCCAGTACACTCATATCTCTCCCACAAGGATCAGGCCTAAACCAGCAGTTAGACATCCCCTGAGGGGCCCCAGATTGGAGAGGGTGCAGGCTGGGCTGAGGGACACCTCCCATGCACAAATTTCATGCACCAGGCCACTAGTTTTTAAAATAAAATGATTATTAAATGATGTATGGGCATATTATTGAGCTAAATACCAATGTAGCTTTTCCACATTATGATTTTCTATATATTCACATGCTTTGATTTGTTTGTTTTTTGTTTTTGTTTTTGTTTTTTTTTAGATTGAAAAGACTTGAGATCTAGGGTTTTTTGATTGAGGAAAAATATTCATATTATTTAAAAATTATCCTAGCTCTCTAGTCATTTTGAAAAATACCATCTGTCTTTAACGTTTTCTCAATGTATAATCATAGGAACAAAAACACCTGCATTTAGTGTATCTTCACTTGGTTTCTCCTTGATCATCAGCATAGTAACACTTTGATCATCTGATTGCCTGTTATTCTTTTTCTTGTAGCATTACAATTTTCACTCAAACATTTGATGTTGGCATATTAGCACCTGTTTATTTTAAACCATATAATTATGACAAATAAATAAAAACAACTTAGGTTCTGTTTTGAATTCATTCCAAAGTAAGTTGGAAGAAGAGGTAAAGTAAATGTAGCCTATGTTTTCTTGGAGAAAAAAAATTTAATAAACTCTACCAAACACAGGAAAAACTGATAAATATTTATGAAATAAGCATATTCTGATATTATATATACAAGGCAATAACCAAAGGAAAACAGCTGAGATATTGGAGAGGTTGTGTGATTTTTTTTAATCTACCTTTATTGTTGAAAGTTTTTCTTGTTCTTTAGATTCCACATATGAGTGAGATCTTATGATGCTTGTTTGTTTATTGGCTCATCAAGTGC